ATTAAAAAAACCGCATTAAAATCCGTTGCGTAGTTTTAAAGATTTAAGCATACATAGGGACAGACAGCGGGGGAAATGCGTTGCATGATTTCGTTACACTCGCATGAAACGAACTTACCCTACCGTGCGTAAAGAAGTTTCACTTCAAAAAAACTTGAGTGGTAGTATGGTTATAACATTTATTTGTATGTTAATATCTTATGCAAGCTTTCGTCAACTACGGTTGACCTCTTCAGGCAATCTATTATTGTTCTAACATTTATTGTAAGACAATTATTCAACGCCGTTGTAAGTAAAATATATTGCCTGAAGAGGTCAACTNTGTACCAATAACTGGGTGAGTTTTAGTTAGAAAATAGTAGTAATACAGATATTAATCAAACTTTATTTGTTTCCTTTCAAAATAGTGTATCAATAATTTGATATTGGTTAAGTACACTTTTTGAAAACAATTAGTAATTCGTATAAAAACAAATAATTTGTTTTCACTTATAGAATTTTTTTATCGTTATGGTTACGGTTTTTGAATCGGCATTAATTTGTGTGATGTGTTGTAATATCGATGATTGCTTACACAATTCTACAAAACGTAATTGATGCGATCAGTCTGAGATGGCACAGTTGTACCTACACACTCAATATTCAAAGCAATTCCTTAAAAAAACAAATCCAATGTCTCTAGAAAAATACTAATAGCAATTAGTTTCCCAATCATCGTTGTAAAGTAAAAGCGAACTTCTATCTGAACTGAACTGTTTGATGTCGTCTGCGAAATATCAACGATGAAAGATACAAATCGTATCGCTTGCAGTTTAAAACAAAACACTTCTTTGTGAATTATCCCATGCTAAAATTTATACTTAATACAAGGGAAGTACATGGTGTAATTATTATGATAAGATAATTGTTGTGCGTGAACAAATATTAAAATGATAGGTAAGGTAATATCGAATCAATACTGAAAGAAAACAACAATCAGGTATTCATAAATTGCACTCAGTAGCAGTTTTATTATACCTATATAAACAGTCTAGTTCTCACAAAAAGAAAAGGTCAACTACCATATTAATATTTAAATACGATCTAATAACTGTTAATTAATTTTTATTGTCTGTTAAATTTTATTTTAACAGTTTATTCTAGAAATATAACTAAATCCGAACGTTCCGACCGTTGCACCGCCAAAGCGGACCGTTGCACCGCGCGAAGTAAGTAGGTTTGTAACATAATCTTGTAAAACTGAATTAATCAATTTGTCAAGTCAGCCCGGAAAACAATATCGAATCCACAATATTTTTGATTTTCCAATTTTAGTTATTTCACTGCCATCACTGTCAATTTATTTCTGGATTCACTTCTGCAACGGTCAATTTATTTCTTCTCTCTCGGCGATCGTCTCTTCCTATAAATACTCTTTTGTTTACTCTCTGGAACCCTCTAGAAACATCTGGATCGTTTATTTTTTTCCTTGAATTGTTTAACTGCTTTCCCAGAACGCAGGTACGACACACATATTTACAAATACGGCGTACATGAAGAAAGGCGCCCGCGGCTAGTCGGTTATCGATAAGCCGTTCACGCCCACGTATGCCCGATCGCACACAAACACATTCGTACTCGCTACAGTATATAAATCACGCATTGTTTGTCTTAAAGCCTCTACAAAAACCATAAACCAACAAACGGGAAATCCATCTGAAAGAATCATTCAAGAAGTAATGTCATTTGAAATAGTTGGAGCTAATTTTTTGGTTTTATGTTAATACGAGGAGGCCATCTACATGGGAATATGCATATATCTAAATGCTACATTGTAGTATTGGCGCTTTATAATTCCTTTAGTTTTTTAATGCTACATCGAAGTCTCCTCTCATTATGGAATAATCTAGCTCATCTATTTCCACACTGTCTTCCTTCTCTAATATATCTCCTGACTCATGGCCTTCCTATAGATTATCTACATATTGTTTCCAACTATCTGCTTTTTCCTCATTTTCTGTCAAAATGACCCCTGCCTCGTTTTTTATACTATTACTGCTACTGTTGTAGTTTTAATTCTATATTTCATTTCTAACACTCAGTATGCTTCACAAACTTTGAATATAATTTATTTTTTCATTAAAGGAAATACCTCCAATTTAAATATGCCTCAAGATAAGGTTACAAGCAATAGGTTTATAGAATGTCATTCAAGTAGTGCTTATCATATAATTACAGCGTCGGCAGAACTACAATAGAGATGGCCAGTATCAGTCTTCGGCGGTCGCATTCACCCTCAGTTAATTGTATGTCATTCTGTCCATAGTTCGTAGGTTCTAGGAACTCAATTGCTCGAGGCGGGGTATTGCCCTGGTGGGTTTTTGCCCATACTCGGTTCTGCAAACTTGTTTTCCATTGTTTGGGTTTGGTAGGCATTGGTGGTGGTATTACAATAAATTCATCTTTATCACATATTTTTAGGAAGTTACACTTTGTACTTCTAATTGTTCGCTTACGTTTGTTGTCACTTTACTTGTTATCCGTTTATTTTAATATTTAGTAAATTTGATGTAAATAAAGTTTTTGTATATAGTGTTTATTATCGATGTTTTATTCACTAATGCAAAAATAACATTGA